TTAATCTTTAATCTTTAATCTCTAATCTTTGATATTTGGTCTTTAATATTTAATGTTTTATTTATAATTTTAATCTCTACTTTTAATCTTTAATCGGTCATTTAGCTGCAATATTGATTCCTTAATCCTTCAGCATTAATTCTTAATCTCTATCACCTTCAGCTGCGAATCTTTAGCCTTACGCTTTTAATCCTAAGTCCATAATTAAAATCCGTTTTTTAAACATTCAACTTTTCCCCCAAACTTATATTTTTCTTTTCAAAGTTTTGTCGATTTTTTAAATAAATCTTAAAAAATAGTTTCTTTACTCACAATTTCGTTTGTCGCCGCTGTTGCCGTCGTCGACATCGCCGCATTGTCCGTCGAATTTTTCGACCCCCGACCCCCAAACGACAAACGCTTGTACAAGCTATTCACCGGCGTTGTCGTCTGATTGCTACTGCCGCTGCTGCCACCGTTCGCATCGCTATTGAATTCTCCCGAACTCGCGCCGCTCGATTGCGTTAGCAACAAATCTTGTTCGCATTCCGACAACTTCTGATAGTTTTGCAACGTTGCAGGCGACTGTTCGTCTGGGGTGTTGGCTAGCAAGTTCTTCGAGTACTTGATCGTCATATCCGCTTCCGTGTTGCGTTTCGCCGCAGGCGTTACAGCCGCTGTTGCTGTTGTTGTTGTTAGTGTGTTGGCCACTGATTGCTTACGCTGTGAACGCACATTCACCGGCTCATAGAATTCACCATCACAATTGCTGCGATAGCTGCCCTGTAGGCAATTGAAACTTGTCAGTAGACTTTCGGCGATATTGTTGTCGGCGCCACTACCGCCTGCACCACTGCCACTGCCACCGCCACAACCAGTTGCCGTTGAGTGTTCGTCTATGCTTGGGTGGCTGGTAAAGAAGGTGCTATTCGAACCACTTGCGTTTGTGGAATTTTGAAAGTTTTTGTAATTTTTAATAGTTTCGTAGCCGCTGAGTAATTCGTTTTTAATGAATTTTTCAATGAAATTCGTTGGCGATTTGATGCCTTGCATGGAACTAAGTGAAGCGAAAAATTTGCTGCCACTCTCTGAGTTATTTGATGTGGAACGGCGTTGCTTGTGAGTGGTGATATTTGCGTTGTTGTTGTCGATGTTGGTGTTGATGTTGCTGATGTGTGTCGATGATGCACTTTTGTTGTTTATGTGGCATTCGCCGCTGCTGTTGTATTCGTGCACTTGTTGTAGTCCATAGATTTGCGAGGAGCCCAATAGGCCAAACATGCCGATGGCCGCTATTGGGGATTTGGGTGAACGTTTTTTTGTAGAGTATTTCTGGTGCACTGAATGTAGCCGAGCGGAATTTTGAAGATATTTTTATTTGTTTGACATAATAAAAGGCAAGCTAGCAGTGGTACGCGAATTAAAATGACCTAAAATGAAAGAAAAATATATATTTGAGAAGTGTTGGTAAAATTAACGCTGTGGTGAAGTTCATATTCATATTCATAATCATATTCATGCCCATATATCTATATTCATGATAATATTCATATCCGTATTCATATTCTCATTTATACTCATTAATATTCATACTCATATTCATATTAATATTCATACTCATATTCATATTCATACTCGTACACATATTCATAATCATGCTCATATTCATATTCTTATTGATATTCATATTCATATTCATATACATGTTCCCATTTATATTCATATTCATACTCATATTCATATTCATACTCATATTCATATTCATACTCATATTCATACTCATATTCGCATCGAAAATTTGAGAGCCTTCCAGTTCCTATGTAAAATGATCTCATAAATCTGAGTTATGTAGGTATATAACCAAAAAAACCGAAAAATTTTTTACCAAGGGGCGAAAATGGTAGACTTAAGTTCGATAACACCGAGTGCTTTACCTCATGTTTTCATAGCACTACGGGCTTATACTTAGAAACTCGTGATTTGAATTGTAATATGTGATTAACCGAGGAATACTTGTAAGTAAATAAATTCTTACTTAAAAGAACAATGTAGAAAATAATTTGCTAAAAAAAAATTCAGCAATTTAAACTAAAAATATTTTTTCAAACTTTTTTATTCTCAAAAAAAAAATTATTAATCAAGAATTTTTCCGGCTTTTATTTTTTTGCAGTGGTTTTTTAATAAGTTTTTTTCCAAAAAATATTTTCCCAAACATTGGTTTCCCCTAAGAAATAATTTGTTGCACAAAAACAATTTTTTCGTACACAAGGGTAAATTTTTTTAAAATTCTTGCAAAAAATTTATTACCTACATTATTTTTTCCGTGCACCTTAAAATTTTAATAAAAAAAAATTTTTGTTTCGAAAAATAATTTTGCCCGTAACAAACTATTACTGTAAAATTTCTTGTTTTCATAAAAATGTTTGGAAAATTTGTTCTAATTTGGTTTAAAAATATTTTTTCTTCAAAAACTGTTTTTTTTTTAACTTTTTGGGAAATATGTTTCCCTTAGCCCTGAATGGCTTAATAAGTAAAGTTAGAGTTTATACGCATGCTACAATGTATAGGTCATCGATTGCTATTAACAATCCAAGTGACATAGTAATTGTGTTGACGTAATAACCGCAAAGCTCTTCAAACAAAATTGTGCGTATGTAACATAAATGAATACCATTACATATATACATATCTACATACAAGTATGCTTGCCTATAATTTTTTTATTTTTTTTTAATGTAAAAACCACAATAGCAGCAACAAATAGTTTTCTTTGCTATTCAAGCATTGATTTCCGCTGCAATTATAGCAGTGATTGACACGTGCAATATGTATGCATTTGCATGTACGTGTATGTTCGCCTTCATGCAAAATATACCACAAATATGCGATTGTAGTTAATACTACACAGAAGCATCACGTTGTAATTGATATGATAAATATGCTTTGTATATATGTATGTACATACATATGTATGTATGTGTGTATGTGTAAAACACTGCATATTTTCCGCGCAAAATTTAACTACAATCATTTTAGTGTTATGTAATTTTCGATGAATGCGAAGTGTCAATAAAGAGATTTAATCGCATAACACATAATTTGTTTTATTAAGTAGCACACATGGTGATAAGTGTGTAACTGTCACAAATGCAGAGGCACTCAATCACAAAGCTGCTGTACAATAAAAA